CAGCCCACTTGCACGCTGTGAGAGAGGCAGAGTGAAGGGGAAGGTGTTAAACACAGGGAAAAGCTCAAGAATGAGGCTGTCCTTGACGACAGAAATATGTTTTGGTGATGCGCCGCATCACGTGCACGCGCGTGCATGCACGTACGCTCTGCGCCGGATGTGCCACGATCCCGCGCACGGGATGCGCCGCAAGTATGATTTTTAGCCAAAAGGCCGAGAAAGGTATAAGTTGGGGAAACAAATTATACTACTATGGAAAGAAGTTGTGAACCCAACAGGAAGCACACACACACACACACGCACACACACACACACATATGTACACACACAGGAAGCACACACATGCACCCAACAAAACAACGACTTGTTTGTTGACAAGTTGGATGACAAAACACATCCAACTTCAGAAACTTCAGAAAATAAAAAAATCAGACAGAAGGAAAGTCACACACATACATACACATATCGTTGTTTAGCAAACATGACAAAACACACACAAGGAAAACTTCAGAAAATAGAAAAACCGAGGATAATCCAGGCTATGACCCAAACTGATCTGCATATTGCATGACAACAAAAGAGAGAACCAAAGCCTTGAAGCTGTTGGACAAGAAGCGGATGCTAATCAGACATGGGGTTGCACACTGATGGGGATTCATAACAACAAATAGGATATACAATTTGTGTGACCGAGCGAGCTATACTCAGCAAACGGACAAAGAAATCACCGCCGATATGTAGGTATGATTTTCCTCATTGCCATGAGCCAGAGGGCAAACAACTTACGGAGGATGTGATAGACGGCCGAACGTAGACAGTGGGAGCGCTGACCGAAAGATCTGCAAAGCCCAAGAGAACATCTAATTCCGCCAGCAGATTTGCAACTCCTTCAAAAATCTGATGTTCACAAACAGAGGGAAGAAAACACAAAAAGGCATCACCAGCCCAGCATGATGAGAAAAGAATCAAATGGAAAAGACAGGTTTCTAAGAAGTAGCGCATTCCAAATCATAACACAAAAATGAACCATGGTAACCGTCCTGACATCCGGATCGGGTTCCAGACAGTCCGGAACAACATGTCCAGTGTCCAGTGTCCGGTCCTTGTGTCCGGAGGGAGGTCCCCAGGGAAAATATCAACAAAAAAAAAAAGGGGGCGGCCCAGGATGTTTATCGGGTCCTGGCCACCCCTCGGAAAATAACGGGGTGACTTTTCAGTGTCGTTTCACCCCACCGGACAGGGCCTAGAGGTCCGGACACAAGACACTGCAGGTTCAAGGGGTGGCGGGTTTCACACAGGCCCGAGCAATTTGAAAGAGGCCGTTTCGACGTGCCGCCCGCTGCTGCTGCCCGTTTGGGGGGGGTGGGGGAGAGAGAGAGTG